AGAAAGCAAATTCTTTTTATCCTTCTATGAACTTTGTGCATATGCACGCTCAGAAAGTTGAACGCTGTTCAACTTTCCGAATGCTTGGACTAGTTAGGAAATTCCCCCAGAATCGTAATACACGTTGCTTCCTCGGGATTTATCGGAATCGAAAATGGCATATGGCATATAGACCGCGTAGAGAGAAACGCATCGTTTCTTCGAAGCTCCTCTCACTACGACAGTTCTTTTACTTTGCGAGTGACAGCATGCCTGACGTGTGTATTCGATGTCGCACCACGCGCCGCATATGGACATGTTCTCTTCTTTTTCTAATTTTTTTTTTCTGCCCGGTATTAGAAGTTAATCCGACATCGGAAATCACGGTCCTCCGACAAATGTTGTCTTGACACTTTTGCAGAGACGAGAAGGAGCCGCTGAAGGAGGAGAAGAAGATCACGCCGATCATCGATTCCGGACTACGCCGGGAGACTTCCATCACCTTCGACGGCAAGAGGTCCGTCTCCAAGACTGGCTTCGTCGGCAAGGATTCAGCCGTCTAGATATTCTTCCGGCGTACTAGATTGTAAATCGTTCCGGAAAAACGCAGCGCGGTTTCCGGCTAAAAAGTGTTCTCGAAAAAAAAAAAACAAGAAAATGAAAAACAAGAAACGAAAAGAAGAACGCGCAGAGAGAATCATCGTACGTTCGCAAGCTCGTTGCGAGAAGACGAGGGATTTAGCGATCCGCCTCGCTGGATTTTTTCCGGATGAAGCCTCACGCGATTTCTCTCTCGCCATTCAGCGCCGAGTTTCTGCCGAGCCTCTGCTTTTCGTTTTGCTCTCAAAAAAACGTGCGCGGTTTCACAGTCGCACGCCGACCCGCCTTCTACCCTTTCGAAACCTCTTACCTCGTGTACTGCGATACACTTGCCGCCTACACTTCCTCGTAGAATCCCCTGAAAGCGCTTCCCACCATTGGTGAACGTATCCTTCGCCTATTACTTTGCCGCAAAGTTTTCACTGCACGTCTGATTTCACGTGTAACGTAAGCTAACCGCTTAAGAATGGAGCAGACTTTAAGAACTTGACATATTCTTCGCCGGTACTTTTAACAAAAACATTAAGATTTTAAGACGTTTGAAGTGAAAGCGATTTGATCGGAATATTTCATTAGTTCTTTGACTATCGCGAGATCGCTCGGAAATAACATCAAAAAGATTGATCCAAGGTAGTTTTTATTGACGAATATGTCACGTTTGAAAGGTTTGTCCCTTGAACATAAAAGCAGTCTTGAACTCTTTTGCCCCGTCATTTTACTCGCCGAAGCATGCGAAGGAGCACAGATAATCGATAGCTTACGAAAACGAAAGTACGAAAGTACGAAATAAGCGAAGCTTACTCGGTAATCGCTCTTAGGAGAAAGTTACGGATATAATTATAACGTATAAATGCAAAGAAACGAGGAGCAAGATCGTTTTCGCGAGAAGAAGAAGCTGGCAAGAAGAATGTACAAAAATTCGTCGTGCAATTGGTAGAGGTCGACTGATCAATTTAGATGAACGCTTCGAGGCACCCTTTAGATTATCACAGTCTAGTACGCTGGGTAGTATCGTGTCCTTTGTCGCGCGCGGCTTTAAGAAGATCGCGCGGAAAGTCGTACTCTGTTGCGCGTAAAGACAAAAAAAAACTTCGTGTTCGTTCGGAAAGAATATTGCATTTAAAAAATATAATCGCGTAAAAATGCAACGCTCGTATTCTTCACACTGTGTAATATTCAGGCAGCTCTAATTCGTTATTGAAAAAAGATTCTTTTCAATATTGAATTAGTATTTAATTAGAAAAAGAGTATTATAAGATTCTTTCGAAATCTTTCAGGGAGTTCAATAAAACATATCTAAATTCCGAAAGTAATGAAAAAATTGAGATATTCTTGAAGATAAAAATGGAAAACAAAATTTGTTGTCAATTTCAGACTTTGACGTATATTTCTTCAAATGCGAAGCATTTTTTATTTATCAATTGTTATGTTTCTTTTTAGCGTGTTTATTTAGCAATTAGTTTAACACGACAAAATTTTAATTGTGTGTTTCGATTTAATTGACACTGAATCACATCCAGTACTTCTGAAAAGGTTTTATTTTTAATTCTTATTTAAAAGGGCAGCTCTCTATTTTCAGAATGTTTAAGACTATGAGTGTTGCTTTTATCCGCCAACAGAGAAAAACTCTCTTTCTCTTTTAAACGAGGTGCGCGATTTTGCGACTACCTTCAAACTGTACATACACACCTTGAACAATCTATTATCTTCCTTCCCTCAAGCTCCATACCTCATCCTTCTTCATGTCTTTCGATTAGAAATGACTATCAATTGAGAGACATAAATAACTTTCATACGCGATATATATTCGACACGCTTTTATTCTCGTAAATTCTTGACTCCGTGATCGTAACGTTCAATCCTTTTCTCATTTGTTTTTAAATCTAAAGACTGATTCTTTCACGTTGCCAAATTAATGGAACCCATTATCGTTCAGATAGTTGAAAGCAAATATCGAATTGTATCTTTTTTATTGTTCACCGATCGCGCATTGTTCAATGCGTGCGTGTTCTCTGTTGAGTTTTACGATCATGCGTGTGACCACTATAGTTATGAGTGAATTACTACTTAAATCTCGCATATTCTTGTAGCGAGTTCGTTCGTTCTTCGTACATTTATATAATCCATAACCATCCTTGTATATTTATACCTTTACTTTTTATTACCTCGAGTGAGAAAAGTTCTCAATTACTCTTTTATTTTTTAGTCGTGATAATTTTACGTATATTTTACATTGTATAGTTACCTCATAAAGAAATGTAAAAGCCGGCTCATCTTTTTTTATTTTTTCTTTTTTATTATTTTTTAAATTCTTCCTTTTCTGTAAAGATAAAAAGTTTTTCATTCTTTAAAATTGAGAGACAAGTAAAATGAAGATAAGGCAACTCTTGCGATACTGTGTATTTGTATTGACATTGCAAAAGTCACTATGATTACGGTGATTAATTGCGGTTGTTTATATAATGAAAAAAAAAAAGTTGAAAGGCACTCTATTCGCAGTATAGAATTCACAGTATTAGGATGCGTGCAAGAACAATCGACGAACGAATTATAATAAGGCATTCTTTTTAGTTGAACTTTTGCACTGGTTCATCTTTTTTCTTTTCCTCTTCAGGAGGAACGAAGAGAAAGAAAGATGTACCGGTGCAAAAGTTCAGCTAAAAAGAACAGGTCTATAAATTTATGACAAAATTTTGACATGTTACCTTAATGTTAAAAGTCTTTTTGAATACATATGTATAGTGTAATCAAAAGCAAATGGTATTTACCATGACAAATGTCAAGTTTTACAGATACACGGAGCTAGCCGGTCGAATTTTCAGTCAGTGATCTCCGAGAGAGTGTGACATCCGAAAGCTGCCATATTTAATATATCCGAATATAGCGAGTAAAAAGAAACGTACCGCTCTTGTCCTAATGTCTAAGATGGCTTTTGCAGAAAGAAACGCAAACGTTAAAATGTGATAAGTTTTTGTAAATGCTTGTAAACGTTTTCCCTTAATTGTAAGACGTATTGAGAGTAGATATTAAGAGAGTTTTGGTAGATTTAGAACATGCACGATACGGAATGCGTGTTTTTGCGAAAAATCGAAGGTGGGAGACTCACAACCGACGGGGAAAAACATTGTAAGATTGTTGTACAAACAGACGCAATGATAAATCCAGATAATTCGCTCTGTGGGTTCTAATGAAAGATTTTACGAACGTCGATTAGCTTCGAATACAATTCGAGTGACGACTTTTCGTCTCTCTTTCTGGAAAGGAATTAAAATATAATAAATTTAAAGTTAATTGCATGCAATCGTTAATTTTGTAAAGCGGAAATTACTGTATTTCTGTGCAGAACTGTAGACAGATGGACCAGAGTATATAGGAAATCTAGAACTAGCAGCGAAACTTTCCCATCGAGAACTATATCGTTGCACCTGTTGATACATCAGGACTATTGGCGCGCTTCCTCGCATTCGCGAACACGCTTTCCGTGCAGATAGCTTTTTTACGTAAGACAGAGAATTTGCCAAATACCATAGTACTTATTAGTACGTAAGTCAATGAATACATATAAATATAAATATATATATATATTATACAAAAAAATGATATATATGTACATGAAAAATAAATAAATCGCGGGACATTCGCGTGACGGATGTCGCGCGGCGACTTCGCATCGGCGAGCGACGTGTCATCGTTTCTAACACCTCTAGCTATTTTGTATCCGTTGCAAAGAGCCATAAATCCTTAACAAGTAGCTTCCCATAAAAAAGTATTACGGCGCATCTTCTTCATCTAGAGATCATTACGAGTATTAAAGTTCCGTAGATGTAAGGCGTATTTTTTATGTAATGCTTTTTCTGTACGCGACAAGAAATCGTGCTCTTGAATAAAATGAAAAAAACGTTTTCAAGATGAGAAGAATGGATGGATCGACAGGATTGGAAACCTACGCCTCTCTGGTTTTTCTCAAAAACTTTATTACGATAATTATGGGTAAATGTTTTTATAAAACGATGTAGACGCAATGTAACAAGATTGCTTATATTGGTCACCATGAGAATAACGGAAGATTGTTAATTTTTTACGACAAACGTGGCAGCGACATGCGGATTAGTAATCCAAACTATCTAAAGCATATTGCGATATCACATGATTCTTGGAGAGATTCAAATTATAATAATTCACTAGAATTATTCGTTTTTAATTATTGTTCTTTATCATCGCTACTACGTTTGTAATTATAAGCAGCTATACAGAATGGCACTGCATTATTTTACATGTATATACACATTATGCAAAATTCAGTACAAACAGCATTTATATCCCTATCTTTTTAAAAAAATATCAACGTATTGTATATATATACACATAATGTCAACGTATTTCATTAATAATAATAATATCAAATTAAATTACTGATTCTTCAGGAAAGCACAACACATTGCACATTGGAATGATAATATTTTCTTTCTTTATACTTCAATGCCAGCATTGGAACGTTTACCTTTTTTGATCAACATCTGCTCGACATTCAATTGCGGCGGTTCTGTTCGCGTATGCCACACATACACCTAAAATATATAATATTTAGATTTTCGCAAGTATATTGAAAGATCATCGACAAAATTTCAAGTAAATTTTTCGATACCTTCGTGCAGCAGTCCGCCAGCGGCTCTAACTGATCCTTCGTGACTATTTGCCTAAGTATCTCGCTCTCCTGATAACCACCTTGCACATCATACGAAAACCACGCGTCGGTGTGTTTGAGTAAGAGCTCGAGATTAATTGCAAAACCTGCCATGTCGAGCGGAAACGGTCGGTCCGGTTTCCATGCCGCGTTAAAACCCATTACTTTATTAGTGACGTTGTCACAAATAGGCTTCTCTATCATTAGACCACCGACTAGGCCAACCGGCCAAACGCCGACTCTTTGTATTTTCTCCATCTGGAAGCGATAAACCATAATTACATATCTAAATAAAACATAACGCATTCAGATAATTAATCGAGTAGATCACGATTCATTTTTTCTAAATTGCTTTAAATTTTATTTTTTAATTTGATATCAGGAAAAACAATCGAATCACTTCCGATCATAATTAAATATAAAAAATTGAAAATATGAAATAAGTAAACTGTTCTGAATTAAATTGCTGACTAAAGGAAAAAGAGATGTTTCAAAAACGATCGCATTAACGCGATCTTATTTTTAAAAAATCATTCTCCGAAGGCACTCGCCTCACCTCGTGGAAGAGTTTAACAGAGTAAGTATTATCATCGTCGGCAAAGTAAACAACGCCTTTGTTAGACAGCTTGAGATTCTCCCTAAGCCATCTTAACGCCGCGTTTCGTTGCTCAACTCCGCGTGGCTTCTTCCAATTTGGGTCATTTCTGCCGAGTTTGTAATTCGGTGGTGTTGCTACAGACAAATGGGTGTAGATAAGGCCACTTGTCTCCAGAAATCGGGAGACCAGGGCGGTCTTCTGTGGGGCATCTTCCACGACGATCCAGTGAAAGTTGGACACATGGAGAAATGTCTGTGCCAACCGGGTGAGTTCAGCCTTTTGCACGGGCCTGGCGAACGTAGGCGTGATTGCATAGATCACGGGCCGGCTATCCCCGTTTCGCCCGCGGACGTTCTCGACGAAGAGGCCGTGCGCCTCCAGCCTCTTCAGCAAGCTGTACGTCAATCCCTGCACGTCCCGCAGATCCGCTATCATCGGCTCCAGCTTGGACCTTATTTCCTGCCACTTCTTGTGCTCCTGATAATCTGTGTAAAACACAATTGGAGTTATTAGCGATAATATCTTGGATAGTACCCTTTTTATCTGCCTAAAACTCATAATGTGAGCACCACGATATTTATATTTGATTTATTTATATCACCAGAAAATTATATTTGAGTAAAGGGAATCTGAAAGAACGACGAGTCGTAGCGAAGATACGGCGTGTATTATAAATAGCTAAAGTATTATGATGTCATTAGGAATTTCGAAACAGCGTTGAGCGTAAATGGCAATAATCTACACTTACAAATAGGTACAAATTGTTTATACATACATATGAATAGCAAGGATATTACATCACTTGTAATAATTAATTATTACCCAAGCAGATCAACAAATCACGATAACGTCAAAATAATATTAAAATAAATCGAAAATGATGGAAAAATGATTTTTAATAATCATTTTGGAGTCATTTTGACATCATAATAACTTGTTCTGCTTGGGTATTTCTCTTTCTTCTTTTTTTAGAAATAAAGACTTTATTCGTAAAAATTATAATTATAATATTGATGATTCTATTAAAATAACTTCAAACGTATTAAAATTAGCAGCGATTCAATATTCTTTTATCATTCGAAATCTGTTTATAAATCACAATACTCGATAATGATCATTCAAATTTTATTATTTATAATTTGATCATATCTAGACAACGCATATTTGTAAGTGTTTTTAATCTATTTAAGAATATTTGATAATATTTACACGAAGCATGTTCTCGCAAGATATATCGACATGTTAAAAATTATATAACAATCCTAATATGATTCGAACAATTAATGTAAACATTTTGCAAATTACATTAAAACCTAATTAAAACTACACGATGGTTACTTTCTTAATATTTTAAAATTCTACATGGCTCTTTAACTCACATGGTAAAGGAAAGTCTATACAACTATCATTTAAACAAAATAAAATAAAAAAAAACTGATCCACGATATTCGACTCCGTTTTAAATCTCGTGCCAAAACCGCACAGTATATCCATCACGGCGCAGACTCACTACTCAAGTACTCACGCTACCCAAGCATGGACGAGCGAGGTTACCTGTGGGGTGACGAAAAACGAGAAAGAAATGCGATAACTAGATGAACACTCACATACGATGCTTTGGAAGACAATCACATTTAGCAGGACGAGTATCACGAAAGCCTTGTTGCAGCGAAATCCGCCCCACATATTGGCCTTCGTGCTAGATTCGTCGATGAGAAACAAACTCTCGGTCATTGTTGCCGCGCCATGACACCGTTCTGCTTAACCGATCGCGCTGACCGAAGTGTCAAAGCTTCGTTTTTGTTCCGCTCGTGGTGGAAGAAACTCGGTGCTCTTGCGCCACTGCCTTGCGCATACATTTCTAACAGCCAATGAGAATGCGACACCATATGTCGCCATGTTGCCGCAGTTATTTGAATTAGGAGTTATGTCATAATAAGAATTCATTTTTCACAAACTTTTTTCCATTAATATTAACGCTTTCTCTTTTAGAAAGCGATGAAAATATATATTCTGAATTCTTTTTTTCGATGATCATTTTTACATGTTTTTATGTGGCAAATACTCATTTTGGTCTCTCAAGCTGTCACTTCAAAATCACCGCGGTGCAAATGTTTAAATTTAGAATCTGAACAGAACCGTATGAAATTTATCTTGAGAACGAACACACTTGACTTTCTTCCATCATAATTCCGTTTACGATAAAATATTGTTTCGCTTGTGCGAGTTATGTTGAAATTGTTTTCACAATACAGGGTGTTTCCAAATTAAATGGCAAAACTTCGGGAGCGTGTAGAGGAGTAAAAAACTAAGAAAAAAAGTCCTATAGACATATGCTCCTTTTTGCTTTGTTTCGCAGGAAATCACGAAAAAAGAAAAAAATATATTTAATTTATTATTTTAATTATTTTATTTATAAACTTTTTAATGAAGATTTTGTTCGAAATGTGCACCTCTTGCAGCAATACAAGCATTGCATCTGTCAAACACGGCTCTTGTAGCAGCCAGGCACTGTTCTTGCGATATTCTGTTCGCTGCAGCTACGATACGATTTCTCAAATGTTGCTCTGATTGAATAGGCGAAGAATAAACTTCTTGCTTCAGAGTACCCCATGCATAGAAATCTAATGGCGTTAAGTCGGGCGAACGAGTTGCCCAATGTACTGCTCCTCCACGTCCAATCCATCGTTGTGGGAATTTTCTATCTAACCAGGTTCTAGCGACTCTGCTGTAATGAGCAGGGCATCCATCTAATTGAAACCACATTTCAGTACGTTGTTGTAATGGGATGTTTTCTAAATAGTCAGAAAATTCATTCTCCAAGAAATTTAGAAAACGGTCCCCATTTAATCTTGCAGGTAAAAAAA